TAAGCTAGGCTAAGACACATATGTACTACACAAGGGCAGAAAGACCGATTGGGTCGATAGCCTTTTTCTGTAGGAAATAAAGATTGTTTATATATATAATTTATTTAAGGGAGTAGTAAAAGTTGGTGCAGTGAATGCTGATGAACATAAGGAGCTCGCTGAACGATATAATGTTAGAGGATTTCCTACTCTTAAAGTATTTGGTGCCAATAAATATACGCCAGCAGATTATAATGGCAATAGAGTTGCTGAGGATATTGTAAAGGCTGGTGTAAATGCGGCCAAAGCAAAAGTCAAAGCTGCTTTGGATAGGAGGAGTGGCAGATCTTCGAGCGGATCTTCAGATGTAAGCTTAATCAGCTTTTCAAATCCGCAAGTCTAATTAATTCCCGTATTTTTAGGACTCAAGTGAAGGCGTTATTCAACTAACTGACAGCAATTTTGACAAACTGGTGCTGCAGTCAGACGATATGTGGCTCGTTGAGTTTTATGCACCGTGGTGTGGCCATTGCAAGAACTTAGCTCCTCATTGGGCGAAAGCAGCAACAGAATTAAAAGGAAAAGTAAAGCTTGGGGCTCTTGATGCCACTGTGAATAAGCAGAAAGCAAGCCAGTATGAGGTTCAAGGATACCCAACTATTAAATTCTTTGATTCTGGTAAAAAATCCGCTATGTCAGCTTCGGAATATAATGGAGGGCGAACCTCGAGTGAAATTGTGCAATGGGCTTTAGACAAATTTGCCGACAGTATTACACCACCTGAAGTTACTCAGATTTTATCTGACGTTCTATTTAGGGAACGGTGTGAAGACCAATCGCTTTGCGTTGTGGCGGTATTACCTCACATTTTAGATTGTCAGTCGGAATGCAGGAACAATTATCTTAAAATCTTGACCGACTTAGGGGCACAATTTAAGAAGAAAATGTGGGGGTGGGTCTGGTCCGAAGCAGGGGCCCAGACAGAATTGGAAAATGCCCTTGATATTGGAGGATCTGGTTACCCTGCCATGGCTGTAATAAATGCGAAGAAGAAGAAGTTTTCAATTCTTAGAGGATCCTTCTCGAAAGAGGGCATATACGAATTTTTAAGGTAATAAATTTTGTTGTATTTGCTGTCTGAGAAACTGGAAATTTGCGATGGATCAATTTAATTGTTGCAATTTTAATATGTACGTTTTGGCTTACGGTTAGCGGTTAATAACTTCAAATATCTTTAACAACGCTTAAAAATACATTTACTGCACCTTGCTAACAGTTAAGTTTCATAAGTTTGATGTGAGTTAGTAAAGTTTACAAATTTTCTTGTCATCATCTCCAAGTTTATACTAATTACCGAATCTATGTAGCTATTGGTTGAATGTTTTAATATTTATTATAATAAATTACTAATTGAAGCTAACCGAAACACGTTCTAATAAATTTTACTTTCAGGGATTTGTCCTATGCAAAGGGTTATACAGCACCTTTAAATGGAGACATCTTTCGAAAAATACGCAATACGGATCCTTGGGATGGAAAGGATGGAGAGTTACCAGAAGAATTGGTCGGTATTTCAGATATCGATTTCGATGATAGTAGCAAAGATGAACTGTAATTAACTGAAAAGCCATTCTATTTTGTACCTAATTTTCTATTATTGCCGAAATTAATGTTTGGATTTTCTGTGTTGCTTTTGCTAAATAACAATGAAAAAGTACGAATTATTGGCATTTTTCAAGTATGCTACTTTTGAGTATCCCGATTTTTGTAAAATGTAGGTATTTATTAATAAATGTTCAGTTTTGTAAAATAACGTGGGTTTCTCTTACCAAGTTGGGTTTTCATAAAATTATGTATGCCTCCATTTCAGTCCCAAATATATTTGAACACTCCCAGACCTACACATTAATTATTCATTAATAGTGTGTAGTCTGTGGTCTCTGCATTAATCATAATACATTGAAGCATGGCAGACCTGAAAATTATTTTGGCAAAAAGCATTTGGCTTGGCTATGCAGCAAATTACCACCTGGGCGTAGACTTTTCTACATTTATCCGCATATAGAAATTCGCGAAAGTGGTGTAAGTCCATTTTAACAAAAAAATAGTTGATGAAAATGAAATACAAAATTTACTATAAACTTTTTATTTATGAACCGTTTCAAAAAAATCTGCAAAATTTTTCATTGCTTATATCTTTAGAAATTTTCGTGGTTAATGAAGAAACAAATATAACTACTTTGAAAATGGTGCAAGTTCTCTTTTTTTTTGTTCCTTAAAGACTACTATTCAGTTCAAAATTGTACTACATAATTTCTTTGGTTCATTTTTATGTGTAGCAACATTGTAAATCACACATTTTTATAGTTTCCCGAAATTTCGCTTTTTTTGTATAATTATTATAAAATGTTTAACTGTTACTAAAGTTCCCCACTCATCAATCACTAACAAATTCAATGTTAAAATGCAATTTGAAAGGGTTTTTAAAAATCTGTAAAAAGATGCGAGAGCTCGTGTGCAAATCAAGTTAATTGTTCCGTCGCTTTCAATGATGCGAGTAGAGGAAAACAGTCGAAAATCCTGATCTGTCTTGAATGTGAATCTCGCCTTTAGTTTCTTTTCTTTTGTACAACATATCAAGCTGTACGAACTCAAAGTTTAAAAAATTTGGAGCAAACGTCTGACCTGAGAGCTCAGAGAATCAAGTTCCATCGCTCTTAATAATGCAATTAATTTGAAGCATTCGCAAATCATGGCATGGTTTGTGAATGCTTTACTTTGATTTTGATGGATCTGCAAACAATTGTCCAGCACCTAACAACACATCAAGTTAAAAAGATTTCCATGTTGTATGAAAATTGAGCAAAATATTGATCGGTGAGCGAGTATTTAATTTGGCATACAAATGTCGCCGCATTAACTGCAATGTTTGTTTAATTTTCGCCGAAAAATCAACTTTGTTTACTAAGCTATCGCATTCACATCCGACGTAAGGACATTTTCAAGAAGCATTTACTGATATACCAAATATCGAAGTAACGTTAAACTTAAAAACGACGGACACCCGAAATGGTTAAAAATTTCAGATTAATTGTAATGAGCTTTTTGAAACTAATTCCAAGGCTCAGGGAATAGACATTGCCACCCCATCGATTAGAATATATATGAAAACTAACCAAAAAAACAATAACTTTCAATATTTATTATTCAAATAAATTGATAATATGACGTTATAAACTCTTAATTAATTTCTTATTAATAAATCCTAATAATCTTAAATAATTTGGTATTTGGTGAAATGTTTATATGAAATAGAACATTTTCTGGTATAAACTGTAACCCTACTATCGCCTAGCAAGTATCCCAGAACATAATAAGTTTAATAAAAATGGTGACGCAAAAGCAATGGTCCATAGAGTCACATATACATATAATTAAAGGAAGCTCAGAACTAAAGCTCACATAAACATGTGTATGTACATATGCACTTTTACCTATATATAAAGCAGGTGTTCATAAAACTAAATACAAAACGACAGGGCAAGATTATGCAAATGTTTAATTTATTAAAAAAATATTGTTATTTAGTTGAAGGGAACTTTAAACTTAAGTTAAAAAGTGGATGTGAATTAAATTACAAGAAAACTTCCTGTTATTTAAGTAAATTTTTGAATAATATTAACCAAATTATTTATTCAGCTGGCTAAATTCGTTCACATGCTTGAATTTTTGAGAAATAAAGTTTTTATTATCTTAAATATTATTGTAAATACATGTTGCATTAAATTCAAATTATGATTATGCTGCCCTATGACTCATTGCTTATAGATTACCATCCATCCACATTACAAAAGTACACATAAATCGGACAATAATATATTAACACGTATCAAGTTAACGATGAAAAATCTACAAAATAAACTTACAAAAATGATTGTAGAAAGAGATATAACAATGTTCAAAACTTGATGGCAATTTGCTTTCAGATCATCTTTGCATTAGTACCTATATGTATATAGTTTAGTGGTAAATATTTTTAAATTCAAAAAGAAACAAGCCAATATTTGAAAACTGTTTCAAAAACACTCCTAATATAACGGTATGATTCTAGTCCCTAATCTTGAGACTAAAAAAATATGTAAATTATAAATACAACCAACAAAACTAACAATAATTCTTAAGGCTATATTGTTAAACTTAAACTATACAAAACATAAGGCAAAAATATAACATTTTCTAAATATGTATAGATATATACAAAATACTTAACCATTCTATATACATCACGCAAATTCGGAGAAGTATTAAAATGTCACTTAACCAAAATTAATGAGGTCTATGAGTCTTACGATTTTAATCAATTACAATAAAATTGTAAAGGAGACTGAACAAATGGGGCTAGCGTGGTATCTTAGAAAATTATTAATTTTGAAACCATCAAACACAACTAAATTTTACACCATCATCACTAGAGTAACAATTATGGCAGTGTAGTTTTTGATTTCGAACTCGAACATCTGTGCCAATACGTCCGTCTCCAAGCTCGATGTGACAGACGCAACATTTGAAACACTTCATATGGTAGAACAAGCACAAGCTTTCAATTATCATTGCAGCACCACGTCCTAAAAAATATATACATCTTAAACATATAAAAAAAGGTTGGAAAAAGATAATCCATTATTTTAACTTGAAATTTAAGACTTTATTTAACATGTTTCGGATTGAACAATGAAAAGCTTTCGGCATCAATAGAGTCGTTATGAGCTCTTGAAAAAGTGATTTTGAAAACAGATTTCGAGAAGCGCCAACCTCAGGCACCCCAGGACGGGCTCGAAACCGGTACTAGGGGTAACTTTTGAACCGTTGATGCTATTGAAAAAAAGTTTATAACTTTTTTCAAGTATTAAAAATACCTACAATATAAGACAAACTAAATCAAAATTCATTCATTTGTTTACTCAGAAAACGAAAAAACGCCGATGTTAGCGTTTTTTTTTCTTATTAAATTAATTTAGTCAAAAAAATCATACTATAACTTTTTTGAAGGTCTTAGTGCACTTTATTAGTGGTATACATTTAAGCTTAAAATATTCTTAACTTTTTGTTCATTCCTATTTGTTATTAAAAAAAGGCTCTGGTCAGATTCTAAATGAGTTTTTCTTCAGACATCGGAGCCACTTCGCTGAGGGCAAGGGCGGATCCAATTCTCTATCCAACGATGTCAAAACGAATTCTGTGGCTCGAATGGTTTTTGAGAAACTTCGAAAAAAGCAGCGTCATGTTCAAGTGGATTTTGCAACTCAAAAAAACCACGCAAATCTCAAACTTCTTGAATTCAAGCATTTTTGAGAAAACTGCCAACATTTCCCCATCCGTGGTTCGCTTTCTAAAAAGGCCATTTATTTCTGTCTAGAATGATGTACAAATGTGCGTTGTTGCTCATTTTGCCTCCGAGAAATGAGCAAAAATGGGACGGAAAACATGAAATTTTGGCATAATCTTGAACATAAGTGTCTGATATTCAAATTTCGCTTTCTGGGACAAAACTATTCGAATTTCCTCACTCACGTTGTTACGACTGAATCGGGTTTTCAATTCTCTATCCAACGATGCCAAAACGAATTCTGTGGCTGGAATGGTTCTTGAGAAACTTCGAAAAA